CTGACACTGACACCACAGTTCACTCCAGGAGGAGCAAATTAAGGAAGCACTTAAAATGAGCACTGCTCTTACGGTCTCTGTCTTGTCGGACTCTCGTCACTTGCCACCACGGAAACATGTGGCACTGTCATGGAGACCAATTTCATGAGTAGGCAGGGGGAAGCGAGACTGACAGTTGGGAAATCACCTGATACCCATTCCACCTTATCAGAGTTTCCAAGTAGGAGAGATTTGTTAGACACTGGGGGTTCAGGCAAGTGCTTCTTTATCGTGTTATTACGGAAACATGTGGGGCTATCAAGAACCATGGCTTTGAGCAGTCTTCCAAAAGCGTCAGCACTATTGTATCCGTTTAAGTATTTGGTTTGCAGGAAGATTGCCTTACCTAGGCCATTACAAATCTCCAGGACCTAATTATCTTGAAATACTTGTCCATATAAAACTCAGATTTTACTATCCATACCAATGCGGCTAGTCATTCCCATTACTAGAGGATAGCCACCTATTTCCAACTTAGCAGACTAGCATCTTGCCAACCAGACCACTGTCACCGCAAAGGAGTTTAATCAATTAAAGATGATGCTATTTTCCAACATAACCCTGTGATAAAGGCATATTCATAAAGCGTACTCTATTCTCTATGATACAAGACTTGGCGCAAACTGAAGGAAACGTCAACCATCTCCATTTTATGCAAAATAAAATTTAAAACGAAGATCGAGCGCACCTGAGAGTAACTCCACAGAAGTTGACAATTGTAAAGATGTAATCCCCACCAACAAACATACCACCATATGAGACAATCGTATTCTACGAATAGAAAACAAAGTTAGGTGAAACAGTACTTAAACGCAAGAAAGGAGGGAACTTTTCGCAAAGATCATACCTTCATAATACCAATCACACTAGTTGTCAGAGCAGATGTGAGTCGCGTGCACTCAAACGTGAGGAATTGTAGAGTAACTGCCGCTAAGCACGAAAAGAGAAAGCCGATCACAAACCAGACATTTGTCCATAGGGGGAAGTCAATCACCTATCGATTCAATAAGAGATATCACTAATCAGTCAAAAAGATTCAAAATTTAGATAGGATACATATATATACATATAGGCGACATACATTCTGAACTTTGCCTGTGATTAAAACGAGCACCAACATGAATGGAAACATGAATATAGAATTATAGAACAGAAGAGTTGTGCTAGAGAAATTATGCTTTGAAAGACGAGATTTTGTAAGAAGACCCTTGGCGGCAGTTGAAATATTGTTGACAAAGACAAAGCCATACCCAATTAGATCGAAATTGATGTCGCCACTAGGAAAAGTGAAACTGAATAAGGAAATGTCATTACCTGACAGCTACAAAGGCACCAGCAACCATTGTGCAAAGAGATATATGAGTCAAACACGTGTGCTTTTTACTAAAAGGTTGGCAAATTATTCCAAAAAAGTATAATACCCACCCAAAGAAGATACGTTCGCCAATTAGAATAAAGAAGTTTGATATTCGTCGTAGTGCAGAAAATAAAGGAAGACTAAATAGAGCTTATTGATGTTAATAAATTATACCTTATTGCACCGGTTCCGGCTAATCCCATCGTTACATCAACTGCATAAATGCACGAAAAAGGAATAATCTAGTAAGATAATATTAAAATATGTATGCAAGAACTTTTGAGATAAGATTTCTGCTGGGTCTGGGGATTTTTGTAATTCCAAACAGTGAAAGTAAAAATAGAACAGCGAAAGTGACAAATATTTGTGCAGCAGCTAGGAAAATTGGAGATGGAAATCTAATGAATATTAGTAATGATAGAAATATTTATGTACTTGTTAGCTGTTAAGATAAGTTTGTTGACGAACATTATTCCAATGGATGACAGGGAATATCCTACTACAATGAAGCATTTGTAAAGGACAGAAGAGTCCTCTGCCATCCTCAAATGCGAACGAAAATACGCAGAACAAATATTTCGTAGTATACGCGAACATATTCTTAATTGAGATTGACCTTCGAAGTTAGCCTGGAAAAATTAAGGCGAAAATCGAATAGAATTTTGATCTCAAGTCCACATTCTATTAAATTTTAAAATATGCTAAACTTTCGAAATTTCGCAATTATTTTTCCTTATCTTATTGATTATTGTAACGTGTCTCAATTGATTTATATTTTGAACTTTTAATTGCAGTTATTTGGATTAGTAACTTCAATATTGTTATATCATATTGATGATTTTTATTACAATTTAAAAAGTTCATTAGTGTCATAAACCAATATGCACCTTGTTCTGTTATATATTATTTACCATTTTTCGTAATTGCTAATAAATCATTGTAAAACTTTGAGGAAGCATACAAGTTGACAGTATAACTTAATCCGTTGGGTATTAATCGGCTTGATAATTATGGTTTGCTGCGATTATAATAAGGCACGATTTTTAGTCACTTCGGGTCTTCAGGTTGAAATGCTCTTAAAACGGTATTCCGTCATTTGCTTTTGTATTACTGACTCTAAATAAAATTGATCAATGTTAACAGAAATTTCGTATATAAAGCACACATTTTTGAGCCATCTGTCGAAATATATTCAACGCATTATGCCACTGGGATCGGGTTTGTCTATTTATAGAAACTAGGTCTTATTGTCAAACGTATGAGGAAATAATCCCTTATTTAAAGTTTGGTTTGTTAATATTATTAAATCATAAGATTTTGACATATTATTGCACTCAAAAATTCTCATATTTAATGAATACCTTTCTTATTGAATTAGGGGCAAATTTTAAATATTTTCAAAATATTTGCCTTCATTTCGAGCCTATAAGGCCCAAGTTCGTAAAGTTCTGAGCTATATAATTGAGACCACTAAATCATATAGTTGAATCTTGAATAGTATTTGAACAGAAGGTTATAGCTGAGATTTTGGCCCTCAGACCAGCTATTTTTTCATTGGAAATTCTGCAAATAGGGCCATTTCGTCTTTTGCCTCCGTGGATTCTTGTTCTGTACAGACTCCTCAATAGCTCTACCTAGATGAGAACAAAGGTTCAATTTCGATTACAGTTTCGTAGCATTTTTCAGAATCAGTGAGCTTTTTGAAATTGGAAGAAAACAAAAGTTTAAAACCGATCAAATATGGAAATAAAAACTGTCATATTCATTATCTCGGCTTTTAGAGACACGATATAATTTTATTCTAGTCTACATTACTTGATATGACAGTTACTATACTTTGTTTTAGTCTCAGTGACCTAATTACAGCAAATAGCGAAGAGTACTTTTAAAGTTGTCACATGCTATCAGAAGTGAAGGTGCACAACAGCATTTGCTGTAATTGCATTTCACTTAATCCTAAAGCAGTTATTCCCATCTTATATGAATAGATAACAGACGCAACCTAAGCTGATAGCGAATCTAAGTTAGTTTTGCGTTTTAGAAATGTTGGAGCCTTATACGCACCGACCCCTTTAATGTGGTTATAGATTTATGGTTTACTGTTCCACTTAATGTACCGAGATCTGGGTATTCGCTAAAAAGTAAAACACAAAAAGTTCTTTTCAAAATGGGTACTTTATCGTATGAAGGGAAATGAAATCTGCCTTCGTTGTTTTAATCTTATTGGAAGCAGACTTATCATACCTCATTTACATATTCACTCTCTTTTATGTTAATCAGATCTCCACGAGAATTCTAAATAGACCCGATTTTATTTAAAACCTACTACTTAAATAAATAATTGATTTATAGATGAGGTATGTGAAATTTATACCCTCAAAATTTATTTTGCCTATTTTAAGGTTTCTTTGCCAATAGTGAGTTTGCCTTCTGATATGTTCACTTCACAAATGCAATTTATACTTCAACATTAAAGCTATTTGAATTTAAAATAAGTAAATTTTGATCCACAATGCAGCATTTTTCTTAAATCAACATCATAATACTTTTTAAAATCACACTGACTGAGTGTTGAAACATGGAAGGGATTAAAAGTTCAATAAATCAGGGTAAAAAGCAATGAGATTGTCGAGGTTGAAAGAAAATGGCCGTTAATGAACAAATACAGACATTTTTCGATTAGATGCGAAATCCATATTGGCTAATGAGCCACGGAAGGGGTCATCAGCTGCTGAGAAGGAAACTGCATGGGACCAAAGACCGGCATCTCCATTTCCATCCGCCATGGAGATTTTCTTGGGTAAGTTGATATCTTCTGCATCCCAATAGACGTCCTTGATCACTGGAGGAATCTCATCATTATAACACCGGTCCCAAAAATTTGTAAACTACGAGGAGTAAAGAAAAAGTCTATGCAGATGAGCTCAAAATACAAAGAGAACCCTTCTGGAGACCTACGTTGGTAAAATCAGCTAGAATGAAAGGAGAGTTGAGGGTTGGTGGGGGTGGGGGTGGGGAGTATTCATCTGTCGCTAGTGAGCGACTTGCGCATATTTATTGCGCCACAATTCGTCTTCTTGGGCATTTTAACACCACCTGTTGGCTTTTAATCAATTGATTACCAACCATTTTATTGGTTTAAGGGAGTACTTATTTATTCATTTCCATTTAAATCCATATAAAATTATTGACCCTATTTGTGTTACTAGAATAATTAGGATTGGATGAATTTTAAGTATGACTATGTGTTAGTGGGGTGGAAGTCTAAATGAGCTATTGTTACTTTGCATGACAGATTTAAGAGTACTTAATTTAAAGAAAGAAATAAACTCAGATAGACAGGTAAAGTAGAGCTTAAATTGTTTACGGTGTCCAGGTTAAAAGTACGTGATAAATTAGGCGGGATATAGCCTATTGAAGCTTGAACATGGAAAATCAGTTAGTTTAGATATCATTTCTGCGGAACATTTAATTAACTATTATTTGAAATTTCGTCGAGAATTTGTTCAAAATTAAGTGGATAATTGAGATAAAATAGAAAAGCGAAGACCTACCTGCACATTGCGCTCAATGTACTCTTCAATTTCAAAATCGTCTTCATCTTCACCAAATGGACTGATTAGGGTTTCTGCCACCTGAATTTAATAAAATTCACATGCATAATCTAATCATTCAACCAAATCAAAAGCTGGGCACACAGAAAGAATTATTGGTAAGGTACCTTTAGCCAGCCCATGTAGAAGAGGAAACGAAGTAGACCGAAGAACGGGACATAGAGATCAACTCGGTGGCTCTTGTAGGGTTTCGTAGGATCGAGGTATTGCCAAGCGAAGAGAGCGAAAGCAAAATAAGCGTAGACTATTAGCGTGGTGACCTAGGCGTGACCAATAGGAGATGAGAATGGTTAATTCCATGGTAACTTGTATCAATTTCAGGTCACCAGTGGAGAAGTAACCGACGCGTATCTGGTGATTGGGGTTATGACCAGCATTGGTTGAATACGACGCCCTCTACTCACCCAAGACAAGACATATTACATACAATTTACCATTGCAATTATTCATGTTTATCACCATTACCATTAATAGCATGTTGGTGAAATGAACAAACTCCTCTTTTTGCGAATCACGATAAGCTCTCTATGGGGAGGGGGGCTTAATTGAGATATTACGAAGTCGCAAATATTCGCAAACAAGGAGTAAGAAAAATGTTTGATTTGTTTTAATGCGTTTAAAATATAATCCACAAGCGCGAAAAATAAAATGAATAATTGGAAGAATTTTGGCAAAACATAAATAAGCAAGTACCATGGCCACCCCTTTTGAAACCCAGACCCCCTAATTACTAACAAATTAGATTGTTTTAAAGTGGCTGAAAATCATTTTAAGACGTCAATTCGGACGAGGTGATAAAGGAAATAATCGATTGAATCAATAATTATACTTAAACTCGGTGCACCAATGAAAGATCAGCTGGAGACTAGCATGCATTATAATTTTAGTTATGTTGTCTATTATTAAAACCAAAATTTTTAGTTTCAATATTCATTCGAATGTGTATATATGATATTTCTGTTTGTTGTCTAAAAGCAAGCTTTATGCAAATATATGTTTGTTCTACCAATAAGAAATCGCGTATTTCACAGTTTTTTGCTTCTAAGTAGACAAATTGTTAAAAAGTATCTTTAAGGACAGTAAACTTCATCTTATTGCCAAGGGCAAAAGTGTTAAACTCCAAATGCAGACAGAGAACAAGTTAGACGGATATTGCATTCTACTTTTATTTCATCAAGACTTGAACGCATGTAAGACTACTAACATCATTACTGAAGTCTATGGTCAAGTGGTTCCAGTCCGTCCATGGTAATTTTGATTTAAATGACTAGTCAAAATCAGAACAACATACATATTTTGATGATGAGGTATTAAAAACGCAGGTGGAATCAGATCCTCCGTTAAGTATGGATGAATTGTCTTTGAAACTAGCATGTCCACGGATGTAGTTATGGAAGCAAACTTGAAGCATGCGAATAAGGCTAATACAATGGGAATTTGGATGCACCTCATCAATGAGTGGAAAAACACGAGGACCCCCTTTGTAGTATTTACAACAAAGAATTAACCCTTTTTACACCAAATTGCTTCTTGGGGATTAGAGGTCACTCTTTTAGGACAAAGTTTGTGGGAAAAGACAATAGCCATCTAAGCCAAGGTTGGCTATTTGAAAAATTCTTTTATGCATTAGATGGCATTAATGTGGACATAATTCATTACGATTATCAAAAATATGGGCGAAACAGATGGGTAGACTAAAAATGTCCTGGGTTATTTAAAATTGAAGGGATAATTCATCAAAACGACACTGTCGGAATGCCCAAACAAAAACAAAATGACTTTCCAAAATCGATTAATTAAATTGAAGAGTACTTACGCATTCCACATATTCACCAAACCTCGCCTTATCTAATTATCACCTTTTCGAATTCATTAGCATACTCCAAGGGAAAGAAAGAGATTTCAAAATGCAACTGAAGTAGCTGAATACCCGAATTAATCTTTTCAATCCCCCCCCCCAAAAAAAAGATGGAAGACTGAAAGAACAATGGGTTAGAGTTATAAATGGCGACGAACAGTGCATTATACTTTACTATACACATAAGTTAAATAAAACAATAAAATTTTAACGTTGTTTTAAGAATGCACTTCATCTTAACAACACCACTAATATATACATACTATATTTCCGAACTGTCTAAAATTCTTGAAAAATGGAATATTTTGCGACATATTTAATGTGACACACACACACGGTCATATATATATATATATATATATATATATATAAAATATCAATATAGAACAAAGTTATATAAATTATATATCTTAGTTGGGGGTGTGGGATAGACTTACCTCCACTTGGTGCACCCTGGGCAACGTATACTCATATGACAAAAAAGTCTATTAATTGGCAGTTGACTTCTGACTTCAAACTACCATATTCTACTACTTCCACAGTAATCATCCTACCTTTTCTCTGCCTTTGTGTTTGTCTCTTTTACAACTGTAAACCACTCTTCTGTTCCCCATCCCTCGACTTTCCGTTAATTTGATGTTCCTTCCCCCTGTGAAGCCCGAAGTCAACTAAAGGGCTAATGATAACTAT